TAGTGAGAGAATTTTGATAAGTCATTCTTATAACATTCAATATAACATTCAAGTTGATAAGCCATTCTTATAACATTCAAGTTGAGATATTTCAAGTTTGCATAATTCAATGCAATCAACCATTCTATTAATGGAGTGTTTAATTAATCGTTAGTTTTCAGATAAAATCAAGAGTCGAAGCTGCTATGTGAAATTTGTAATTCAACTTTACACACTGACGACAGGAATAATTAAACCATTACTTAATTTGACGATTAGCAGACAAGTACAGTATTCCCAGAAGTCGGGAAGATAAACGGTTTTATCGAGCTTTTTTATCTGCATCCGGATGTCGTGCAGATTTGGATTACTCATAGTGAAAGACGAAGAGGAGGAATTCTTTGCTCAATAACCAGTGAAGAGAACAATTGTGACGCACGACTCGCGATAAACTCGTAATCGCGAAGAGGGAGGAAGACGCCGCAGAGAAAGCACGTTTGAAATTGCCAATGGGATCGTAATTAAACTGACGTTTCCTCGCGCCTCGCTGCGGAGTTACTTTCTCCCATCGTGTAGGAAATCGATCGTAAAAGCCTTTTGCACTTATCTGCAGGAGTTTATATTTCCTGCTTGCACAATTATACCACCGTGTCCATAAGTGTGTCTAAATTATTAAAAATATATGAAATATACCTACTTCAAATAAAACTCTTTAACACGCCGGCTGTGACACGAATTTTCTACTTCGTTTGAAGGAAAAGGTAAAGAAATTTCCTCCCATCTACATATAAAGGTAAGAAAATATAGCGCACTTTTAGAAAACAAAATTATGTCTGACAGGAGCAACGAATAAATGTAAAATAAATTAAATGCTAAATATGTAATGTTTAATAGATATACTGTAAATTTTCTTCTGTCTTTTCGATCGAGTTGCACTAAACTCTATTTATATGGACGACAATTTCAATGGACGGATTAATCGTACTCTTGCTAATTGAATCCACGTATTTGAACTTGAAGTCCTGTGTAGGTACGAAAAATCACTGTTAGAAAGGAGAGTCAGCCTCGTATGGATTTCAATTATATAAACCATTCGTCCCACAACAGGTTTATATTTATAAATGGAATTCTATCGTGGACTTATGGACGACAGTAATGCAATTAAAAGTGGAGATGAAGGTGGATACATTACTCTTTTTTTTTTTCTCACTAAAAGGGAATAACACGATTGGGAAATTAATAAGATCGCCAGACGGCGCCAGTTCCCGATAATGGTTATCGATTGGTGTATTGAATAGTCGCGGACGATTCTTCCTCCTAGGCTGTGCACCAGCTTCTTATGCCTATACTTCTTATCATGCTCGTCGAACAAATACTGATTATCGAGCCGACGCGAAACGATACATATTCTCGTAACGCGGCAACAATAGCCGTATATAAATCAAGATATACTCTTTCGACGCCTACTGATACTAGTTCCCTGTAAATATAGCTCTGTGTCATCGATTGCGATGAAATCACGATATCATGTAAGACACAGAAGACGAGAATCTTATTGCCAGATCCTTGAAATAGTATCGGCGTGATATGAATTCGCGATAACGTTGCAATTGGCTCGTTCGTTGGTAATGATTACTTTCGGCGAAATTTGATTAAAGCGAAATTCAAGAAAAATTTCTTGAATTTCGCCACGAATAAATATAAATATTATATAAAAAAATTCGCAAAAATCAGTACTTTTTTACTTTATGAACTAAAGATCATAGAACTATCTCTTTCTCTTTCAAACAAACGATATACTCAAAATTTGCTTAATATAATAATTCAACAACAAGCAACCGAAAGAAGAAAATTTGCCAATTTGAGTTTGTTCGTTAGCATGAATACATGTAAAAAGTAAATATTTAATTATTAATATTTACGTTAATGTCGCGTATTTAACAATTAATTTTCACAAAAGATAAGTTATTTCTTCAGAAAGATTTCTTCCTCCTGAAAGAGGGTTGATTACTCACAATCACAGTATTCGAAGAAGATAAGAATTGACGATTGAAGAATACTCTGCTCAGGTGAACGCGTTATCGTTGCCAAAAACGGAGGCTGACGCGTCTCTTTCTCCGGTATATATTGCGTACATACACCACGCCCCCGCTTTATCCTACGTGCATTACAACCGCGAAGTTCGAATTCGGAAGTCGTGTAGGTGTGCTCTGACTCATGTCAGTGCGGTCGCGAGTCTTCGTCCTCAGTTCGATTTCCAATCGCATCCGGCTTGACTTGGTCAGGAATATCCGTGCTCGGTCAGCGTGGAATTTTAATAAGGAAAAATGTCCCATCTAGTTAGCAGGTCTGCTGCTACGCCATGGAATTTGCCTTACATTTTATATGGTGGCACGTATCAAACAACCCGACGCGACAGCTTGTAATTCTACTCAAACTTCTTTCTCTCTTTTTCAAATTATCCTTCTTTCCCTGATTTCTCTCGCAATTTTTCAATCGTGCAACGATCTCTTACGTGACAAATATGTTTCACTGATTTGTTTTGTTCTCAATGACACTTTATTTATTTGGCTTGCTTCGAACACACTGCTACATGTTCCATATGTTTTAGTTTATTTATTGTATGATACATTAAATTCGATGATGATCTTAATTCTAAATGTTTCAAGAATTTGAATTTGAATTTTTATGATTCTTTTTTTTTTTT